CAATACCATCACATCAGCGATTGTCAACCTATGAATTTGGGGGGACCCATTCAGACCATAGCAGAGGGAGTGTGGACTAGTGAAAACAGTCAGCAAGGACTGTTTGGACCATTTCATCAGGAAGCACTGGACATCTGGGTTCTTTATTTTTGCCAAATTTATACCTGCTTTAGGGGCATTCCCACTCAGTGTTTAAGATGTGTTTTTGCTTTGTGCTTGTCCCTTGCATATCACAGGCCTTTGGTCAATATTTCTTGAGTAAGCGGATGAAGAACATGGAGTCCCAAACGCACACAGCCAAACACTTGGTACCTGAGCTCACTCTCCTTTCAGTATTTTCCCCAGTTCCGGTCCACCCTGAAATTTCCTTACTGGCAAAAGCATCTTTTTGAAATCCAAGTTTCTTCTTGTTCCAGATGTGCTTCTACAGAGGGCACACTACCTGGCTCTCCCACTCACCACCAGAAACAGCCTTTGCCAGAATGTCATCTAAAGGGGACAGTAAGCCTCAATCTAGGCAAGTCTGTCCTTACAATGCTCTGGATTATGAAAGCCCCAAATAGCATTTAAAACACTAACAGAATCTTTATAGTAAAGGAAAAGTCAGAAGGAGGGAGTTGTCAGGATGTTCATCAGCACAGCCTGCTTTCCTGTTTGTACTGTTCACTATCATACCTAGTGGAGTGGTGCTTTTTAAAACATAACATGGCACCCATGACTCATGGTGACTGTGCCGTTTCCACTGGGTTGTTTGCTTAAAGGTCGGATAACGTCTCTGCTCTGGAAGCCTTGGGTGGGAGGAGTAACACTTGGGCTAACTTCGGCAGTGAGTTCACAGCCACCTCTGCCTTCTCCGAAATGGGACGTAACCATCTGACTCCCGGATACATAAGAATGAATGCCTTCTCTCATCCCATGCACGACCTGCGAGTATGTTTTGAACTTCTGTTGACAGTTAGTCTGTTTCCCTTTTGCCATGAAAAATATGAAGAGCTTATGGTCTGGGCAAAAAGTCACTGCAAGATTAGCAGGAAAAGATCAGCTGGCAGGATCTCATCATACCTAGTGACAGCATGAATTTCTGATTATTAAAATGTGTAACATTTCAGATGGGACTACTTATCAGATATAATTACATAATACATGTGATTATGTAACAATTATGCAATAGTTAACTTTACAATAGATGTGTCAATTCAGTAAATATGTATTATTAAATGCAAAGTATTATGCCAGAAGAGAAATACTTAATAGAAAACTGTTATATAAAACAAACTTTCTCAAGCTTATGCTCTGAGAAGAAAGGATGAAAAAGTGTCCAAATAATACAAGGCAGATTATATTAAGGTAACAGTAAGAGAGGGACAAACTGCTATTAGGAATTCTAAGGAGGGAGAAATGACATCAGACTGGGGGTACTAAGAGCATCTTAATGAAGGTCGAACAAGGCTTTGAGATAAGGTGTGAGTGGAAAGGACAGAAAATGAGTTTTTACTGTTAAGTGAGCTTAGGAAGTAAGTCTGAAACTGTTTTAGTATCTGAAATCACTTTAGCTCCCATTTTTGAAGCAAACAATCTTTTTAAAAATTGTTTGAGTTTGCTAGGGCCACCATACCAAAGGACCACAAACTAGGTGGCTTAAACAACAGAACTTTTTCATCTCAGGATTCTGGAGACTCGAACTCTGAGACTGAGGTGTCAGCAGGGCTGTTCCTTCTGAGGACCATGAGGGAGGCTGCTCCGTGCTCCCACAGCTCTTTGAGGTTCGCTGGCACTCCTGTACCCTGTGGCCTGCAGATGCATCACCCCAGTCTCTGCCTTCATGCTCACCTGGCGTTCTCCCTGTGTGTGTGCGTCTCTGTCTGAACTTCCCCTTTTTATAAGGACACCAGTCTTTATAAAAAGGGCTACCATAGAAGGCCACCATAATGACTTCATTTTAACTTAGTTACCTCTGTAAAGACTATCTCCAGATAAGGTCACATTCTGAGGTACTGGGGGTTAGGACGTCAACAATTCTTTCTTAGGGGACACAATTCAACCCATAGCAGTTGCGCACACACACACACACATACACACAGAGTTTTATATGACAAGTGTCTTTTTTAAAGTGGTGTTAAGAGGTTGACAGTCTGATCCTAAAATCAGGTCATGAAACAGAACAGAAAAAAATATATAAAAAGAAATTTTCTTTCTCAGCAGCTTCTCATACAGTTTACTGATTTCTCTTGCAGTCTATTTGCCTTCAGACTATCTCCCTCTCTGTCTGAAAATAAACAGGTTTATTTGAGATTAGGGAAAGTGTAGTAACTTTCTCATTTGTACTATGCATTACAGTATATTTTCTCACACTGCATTTCATTTGATCTTAATTCTTAGGTAAGCAAGATCGATATTATCAGTGTGTAGACAAGTGTATTAAGTCTCAGAGAAGTTCAGTGGACTAGTTAGGGTCCCACTTTAGGTGAATGGCAATAAAATTTAGGTGTTCTGAATTACAACCCAGATCTTTTTCATTCCATCACGATGCATCCAAAAAGAAAGGACGACAATCACTTTTGCTCTTC